AAACATAATATTTACTATTTATTAATGTATTCATCAATAATGTGTTTTTTATGGTAGAGGGTTTTTACGGCGGCTCGCAACTACATAAGGTCTTATGAGCATTAATGTAAAGCATTTTCTGTGTATTTACTCTAAGACTAACAACTGATTTCAAAACCCAAAATGCAGCACAGTTTGTTCTTATTACTAAACACAAAAGCGGCTGATGATAAAATTGGGCAGGGCAAGAAAAAGGAAGAAAGAAACCCAAACACACACACACAAAAAAACGAGTCATTGATCACCAAAGTTTGTGGCGTCGGTGGCCTAGTGGTTAGGCTCTCGGACTCGCAACCGTAAGGTCGTGGTTCGAATCCCGTCAGGGGCCCGACGTTGTGTCCTTGGGAAAGGCACTTTGCACAAATTTTCCTCACTTTACCCAGGTGGAAATGGGTACCCGGCTATAGACAGTGAACGATCTTGTCAGTCTGATAGTGTTTGAGCGCGTGAAATCCGCAGCTTGCACTGTATGCTTCCGCGGAAGCCAAGAATGTTTCTGAGTGTTCTCAGAGGGTCTGCTGGGATAATAATAGTTGTAAAGCGCATAGAGAATGCTCTTGAGCATGGATATACGCTATATAAATGCAATTATTATTATTATTGCTATTATTGTTGTTATTATTATTATTATTATTATTATTATTATTATTATTATTATTATTATTATTATTATTATTATTATTATAGTTATTATTATTATTATTATAACTAGTAATAAAAGTACCCGTTCTACGAACGGAATGATAATGAAGAATTATTAGGAAAGTTAGGATGAGGAAAAAGACAGAAAACAGGAAAGAAACAAAACACAAATATTTTACCTTGAATGTATCCCTGTAGCACCCCCTCTTGACTACCTCTAGGGGTAAGACTTCTTCTCCCTCTTCGAAAGCGGGGCATTTTTCTCCTAAAGTTTCAGCTCAATCACTTTTTTTAAAAAGAGTTAGGTCTACGTGCCAATTGTTGGTTCCTAGAAGAACGTAATCTAGATTCTAGATCTAGCCTAGAAATCTAGATCTAGAAGGACTATAAAGACATAGGCCAATAATTGAAAGAAGGAGCCTTAGCCCATAGGTAGGTCTAAGTTTAGAAATTCACATTTTTAACAACCGACAGGCGTCACAGATGCCCTAGATTTCTAGATCTATTCACAGTAGGAAAAATACACTTTCAAAAATACTTTCATGATTCTTGACCTCGATCTAGATTCACCTACAGCCTAGTTCTAGACTCTAGATCTATTCACAGCAGGAAAAAATCCACGTTCAATACTTTCATCATTCTTGATCTCGATGTAAGATTCACATAGATCTAACCTTGACCTAGATCTTAGAATCTATAATGCTCAGCAAGAAAAATCCACATTCAATATTCAATAGGTCATCGAAATATCACAGATCTAGATTCTACTTTCATTTCGTGATTCTTCTTGATCTCGATTTATCTCGATACAATAAGTGGGCCTA